GAAAGTGTGGTCTACGTACCGCTTGTAGATTCTTGGATTTATGGGAGAAGTAAGCAGGGCTTTCTCCTCAAATTCTTCCATGAATATGTCGGCGGCAATGGGAGATACAGGTGAGCCCATCGCCACACCATCTACTTGCTTGTAGAACTCCTCCTTCCACAATAGGTAGCCAGATGTAAGGGAATGTCTGAGTAATACTGCATATTCTACGGGCATTTTGTTTTCTTCCAGCCATCTAGTTACAATCGAGATGCAGTCTTCAACGGGTAAGCATGTAAACAATGACTGCACATCAAAACTGACCATAGTTTCATTGTCTGCCAGATGTAGGTCTTTAATCTCGCTGACAAAATGGTAGGAATCCTTTGTGTGTGCTCTTGTATGTCCCCTGAACGGTGAGAGTATTTTCGCTAAGTGTTGAGCCAATCTGTAAGTTGGTGAATCGATTTGGCTCACTATGGGACGTAATGGAGCATTGGGCTTGTGTATTTTTGGTAACCCATACAACTTTGGTGATTTGGCGCACGTAGGTATTATCCATTTTACGTCCAGATTTAATTTTTCGGAGTGTTTCTTTACGATGTCACTAGTTGTTTTTAGTGTGCTATTTGTTGGGTCGTTTTTAACCTTTTTATAAGTGCTTACATCCGACAAAAGTTCTTGTATTTTAGAATTATAATCTGACGTATCCATGACTACCGTGGCGTTTCCCTTATCTGCGCGGAGAATCGTGAGTTCTGGTTTATTGCGTAGGTTCTTTAAAGCTATAAATTCGTCTTTGGGAAGATTCGGTTTCGGAACTGAACATCGACGTAACATAGACGAAATGTCTTGACGTATCGCCTCCAAATCTTCTTTTCGCATATTGTTTTTAAATAAACAGTCCTCGACACTACAGATAATTTCTTCGTACGGTAATCTGCGTGGTGTTACTGCAAAGTTGAGGGGTTGAGGCCTTTGGATAAAAGTAAAACCTTAATTGTTGCATCATCCAGTGTTTGTTTTGACTGATTATAGAACGCGATTAATCTATGATCTGTGTTTGTCAATGGTTGCTTTTGGTTCCGGCATTGATTCGGATATTTGACATTTGATTTGGTCGATAATTTTTGATATTTTTCTATATGTTTGTTTTTGCATTCGTTATATTTACTGATTTCGCGTTTATTTAATGTTTCCATGCAAAAATTATTATTATATATTATTAGAGGCCTACGTTCAGCAGTGGACTTGTGAAGGGCTGTAATAATGATAATGATGATGTAAAAATTATAATCAAACGTCGTTAAAACTTTCTTTAATTCACTGGATAATGTGTCTATGGATTTATTTATGTCATATAGATCGGAGCGTTTTTGTTGGATTACCGTCCGTAACAACTTTTTACTCGCCTGATTTAAGATCTTAGCGCTTCCTCGAATGTCCTCTTGGTTGATATTTTGACACACGTAGGAATGAGATTATGGTCTCGGCATCTCTTCAAGAAATTTAAGGCTGTTAGATATCTTGCGCGCTTGGTCTTTAGATCTTCTAATCGGCGTATTTTATTTGCAATTACCAGTCCGTACTGGTTTACATAATGATTTCTTATATTTACGCGAACACTACACATTGAAATAATACTAGTTTTTACGCAATTACTTACGCAATTTCATTATTGTTAGTGTAGGTGCTTAGTTTTAGGTAGGCATTGGATTGTAGTTTTCATTTCAAATTTTTTATTCAATATTGTTACGAGCTTAGGGTTTAGTGACAATAAAACTGCCAATTGAACGGCTTTATATAGGCTTTTTCCACCGAAACATCTAGAGTGTTCCAGCAAATACCAGTCCCGACCGACTAGGTGTAGAAAATCCGAGTGTGGAGTTTTCTAGAAAGTTTAGTTCTTCTATTCGATACTAGATAGCGCAAATAATCACCCGCTATATACCGGGCATTAATTATGGCGCGCAACAATATTAATAATTAGTGATGGTGCTTGCTTATTTAGGGCAATATCTTATTTGTTGTATGGAAACAAAATATTGGCAAGAGAAATTCGGGAGCAAATTAGGGATTACGTTCATTTTGTTATTTATTTACAAAATAAAACACAAGCTTACAGTTTGCCCTATTTGTTTCGTAGATCGTTTGTGGGTCCGTTTATTTGTTTGTCTGATTGACCGACTAACTGAATGTTTTTATTCTGATTAGTGTCTTTCTAATTCGTCGCGACAATTTAATTTACAAATAAATTATCACCATATAGAATAGAAAGAGTACTGATTCCACGCGAACGAAGTCGCGGGCTCAGGTAGTAACAAATATGTTAAGAAAAAATAGCAAACAAGCTTTAGCAATAATTAGGAACACTTCGAAAAATCAACCTAAAAAATTTACTACACTACAACATACTAAAATCGACTAAAATATTGTTACGAGCTTGAGGTTCGTGAGAATAAAAATTGCCGATTGAATTATCAAATTTACACTTTTATTACCGAACACCAATTAAAACTTAAAAGACACTAATAATTAATCACACTGATTCACTTTATTTCGCTCCGAAGCTTCGCTTGTCTCGCCAAATTCAATACTGCCCCGATCGCGGCTTGCAGTGGCTTTAAATATACCTTTTACACCGTAACATCCAGAATATTCCAGTAAATACTGGCGCCGACCGACCAGAAGCAGGAAATACGAGTGTGGGGCTTCTAGAAAGCTTAATTCTTCTGTTCGATACTAGATGGCGCTGTTGGTGGAAAGTTCAAGATTGACAATTTCTAGGAAGTTGTCCTCGCTCTGGTCCCCGACACTAGATGGCGCTAGTGCTAGGTACCAGACGGCAACTTAGGCGCGCAACAATATTAACTATATATAATGTCAAGTGTAAAAATGGCTTCAATAAAGCAGCGCCTTTTGACCCTTTATTATTTGATTTACTTATGAAGAGCTATCCTATCACAGAGGCATCTATGCAAACAAGGCTGTAGTTTTTGACTTATAGAAAGTGACCATATTACCCTCAAGTACTATATTATGGTTGTAGCACGAATGGGTCGGCTCGACAGGGGTGGGACCGCGTTCTTACAAAATACCAGTGATACGATAACGCATCTGCTTTTTGATTGATAATCGAGCATAAATGTAGATGTCTATGGGCCACAGCATCCACTTACCATCAGGTGCACTGTATGCTCGTTTGTCACCCTTATTCTTTTTAAAAAACCTCATATCGTAGTACTTGATGATGATGATGCCGCGGGTACAATAGGCAGACTGCCGGATACGAAGGGCAGACGTGAGATGTCAGCCTCTCCTACCTATTACTGCAGCAGTGTACCCGCTTTTACGATTCGGTTTGATAGGAGTCAGCATTTTAACGTGGTAGAGCCATGCTGCAGCTACATCTTAGTCGTAACACGAATGGGTCGGCTCGACCGAGGAAGAACCACACTGTCATAACATACGGAGTATATTTGTAACTTAGTACTACTGTTTCACTTTCGTTAAAGTATGCAATGCAAGAATATTAATACATCGTTTATTATAATCTTTTTTTTATAAATATTACCCTCATTACTTTCATAGCGACAAACATCCATACCCGAAAAAATTACTTGTAGTAGGCCGGCTACACAAATACTTATTCCGCGCGGGATAGAACCCGCGGCCCTCAGCGTCGCAACTCTTTGCTACGCCACTGCCCGACAAAGCCGTCAATTAAGTATAATATATATATATATATATATATATATATATATATATATATATATATTGCCTCCCATGTGTAACGTACATAATATTATATCATATAGTGAGTATATTCCTTACAACAAGCTGCTGTGTTACATAAGGCAACAGTAGACAACCAGACACAACAAATAGTAACAATGCAGGCGCTGACGCAACTTCATTTTGATTATTTGCTTGCAGTCAACTTGGACTGTCACACGGACCAAGTAGAGTAGTTCGTTTTTCACTCTTGCCGCTATATAAAAGAGTTTCTGATGATCAGCAAGTGGTGGTAGTATAGTATATTCGTCCAGAAATGCTGGATCCAGGACTCCATAGTGCAGTGCCTAAGATTTCATCGTGGCGTTGCAGTGCCGGAGGTTCGCACCACGCGCGGAACGAGTGTACGTATAGCCTACAAATAATTGTTCTGGGTCTGGGTAAACCGCCTCTAAGTAATACGGGAGAAAATTATACTATGAACAGCGAGATCAGGGCGGGGGTTTGGGCTCTGCGTACTCCTACCCACCTAGCTGGTATGATAAGCATTGTAACATTCACGTGATATGTTTAAAGGAGGGTGTTGGTTACTTAACCTAAAAAATATTAATCATACCAAATAAACTTAAAACATTTTATTGACTCTTTTCTATGACAAACTGCACAAAGATCTTGAAATTACTGTGAAGGTTTAAAAGATCTTATTTGGTTGATAGATGTACACTAACTTAATCAATTAAAACTCTATGTATGGAAACCCAAATATGCGAAGTTCCATTAGCTACATAGTATAAGAAATGGTAATAAATTCTTTAAAAGGTATTATTTAAAATATATTTAATCAATATACCCATATTAGGTATTTATGTAATAATAGATCGCGATCTGTGTCTACATATTGTAGACTTAAGAGTGAAAATTATAAAATAAAATAACGTTCTTTAAAAAATATGAAATTAAATGACTTTCTATTCTTGATTTCAATCATACAACCTTCAATTTCAATTATAATTTCACTCATACAATCTGTCATTACTTCGGAGCGAGCGCCGCAATACGTTTCTCGTATTCACCATGAGTCATACAGTAAGTAATAAAACATATCCCTTATCAATCAATACAATGCACGTTACGCAGAAAATACATAAACGTAGTTACGAGCGCGGACGCAGCGGAACAGCCTTCAAGAGTGTCGAATATTATTGAGACCAAAAAATCTCTCCATATTTATACAAATGTGCTTTCGGTGCAATTACTGATATAAAATAAAGAGAAATCAGAAAAAAATGAAGAAATGGAGTTTATTGATCATTTGGACTGCTGCGATGCCTGTAGTGAAGATGCAGTTTGTTATGCCGATGTACGCAGTGAATCCGGCGGCCATGCAGGTCGTGGTGCCAGCAGTAGCCGTGCAGATTCCGCAGTCGACGACGACGACAACGACGACTACGACTACCACGACAACAACACCGCGGAACGTTGCGGTGGCCGTGCATGTGCCAGTGCAGATGCCAGTACCATTCGCAATGCCCGCGTACGCGCCGCCGAACTTTTGCCAAGCGAAACCGCGCTTGCCAAATTGCCCACCATGTCCGCCTTGTCTTTGTTTGCCCTCTTGCACGCCATCTTTCTTCGCGTACTGCTCCCCTTGTCATCAGAAATGTAGGTGCCGTAGCCCAGACAACGCGCCTCTCCCAATGCCTCCTAATCCACCCATCCCTATTCCCGGGCCAGCAATTCCCATGCCGGTACAGGGGCCCCCTCCCTTGGTTGTTGTACCATTTTCTCCAAGTATACGCCTTCCTAATATTAAGCACAAACCTAGCTTCTACTCAGACACGTCTAGCGATACTTCTACTGACGACTCCGGGAGCTCGAGTGACAGTTGTACCTCCGATTCAGATTCAGATTATTTGTTGAAAAGGGCAAGAAAGCGTAAGAAATCTCACAGGAAACGTAAACGTATTTTAGCTAGAAGGAACATGGCGCGGTCTAGTGACAGTGAAGTAGTGAAACCGGTCTTGACATATGTGTCGCAAAACGGTAACATCAAATTTAAAACTAAAATAAGTAACGCTGAAGCTGCCCAGCTCCTCGGTAAAAAGAAGTTCTACAAAGATAAGGGACAGGTCGAAACAGTACAAGTTGTAGCTAATGAAGATTCTAGGAGTCGTCCGCAAGTTGTAGTCGTGTCTAACGACGCAGGTCCCTCTCACAAACTGGGGAAAAAACAAGTCGTCTTAAGGAGCGGTTCCTCCAAGCACGTCCTGCAAAAAGGCAAGAAGGAAATAGTTTTTAGACCACCGACAAACAAAAAAATAAGTAATTTATCTGTATCGTTCCAGATAACCGAATAAAGTTGCTATTGAACTTAATATCGCCTTACAACGAGCCTTACTGAAAAGGAACGCATAATACATAGAACAAACACTATAGCCACAGTTGGCAATCCTCGATTTTAGTGATATAAAGCGTAAAAAAATAAAAATTTGAATGATTTATGTATCCATTCGTTCATCATTCTCTACTCGGATATGTGCTAATTTTTATAGGATAAAGAAGAAAAACGAGCACACAGTCCACCTGATGGTAAGTGGTTGCTGTGGCCCATAGACATCTACATCTATCCTCGATCACGAATCAAAATGCAGATGCGTTGTCACCCGTGAGGACTAAAATGGAATGCCTCTTTTCTAGTAAAAAAGGTCTCCAGTTCTCAACACTCACCATACGAAACACAGCAGCGTTAAGCTGCTATTTTACGCTGGTATTCTGTGAGAGCGTGGTCCTTCTCCGGTCGAGCCGACCCATTCGTGCTACAACTATACTACCAATATAACTGCAGCAGTGTTCTACCACGTAATCTTCCGTTTCTTCTTCGGCTTTATCATCATATAAATCTAAACATTTATATTTAGCTTTTTTTTAAATATTAAAACGTACCTATCTTTATAATATATTTAATAATATTATTGAAAAATATATATCTCCTAGAATTAAAGATTTCGTAATACTGATTTTTTTAAAAAAAACGTTACCCTCACACTATTTTCTCCTGTATCAAACATCCAGACTCGTAACAATTATTTGTAGATCGTACAAATACTTGTTCCGTGCGAGATTCGAACCCGCGACCCCCAGCGCGGCCACTCATTGCTAAGCCACGGAGCCGTCAAATTTATTATTTTATCAATAAAAGATATTTTCTTACTATTCGAATTCAGCCACTTCTACGATACTGAGATGATTAAATTGAGATTTGTTGGTAGTTGGAAACGCGAGAAAAATCGAGGATTAGGCAACATTTGAAAAGGGAGAGTAATGCAGCACATTCTACCTAATGACACCAGTCAGTCGACACGATTTTTGGGTCTGACTTCTGAATGTCAATTCAAAATATTTATACAAAATTTGACCTGCTCAAAGTTTCAAAACCTTGTTAAAGTAAATTTGTATACCTTTAAATAAAGCTAAGCTAGGACTCATTTTTAGACAATGTCGTTTTATCTATATTTTTAGGCAATGAAAAACTGCTACAATATCATTACAATACGAAAGTAAATTTTGCCAGGGCCTTACAGGTTACAACAGCTCAAATGGCATATCGGGCGGAGCTGAAATCATGGAACGCTGGTTCGAGTCCAAATTTTCTCCGGTCTAACTTTTTTCCTTTTTTTGAGAGAAAATATATTATGGAGCCCTTTTTTAGTATATTTTTTTAAAACACGAAAAATAATGATCGAGAAGATCGAAAAATTTTATTCATATTTCATCAGTTTTTAATTTGTATCTAAATATAATTTACAAAAAATACGATTTTCAAAAAAAAAATCCAGGTACTTTGTATAAAAAGGGTTATTATAATGCTAAGGAAGAACTGCATAATAATAAACCCTGATGTTGATCGCTACCAAGCTATTTCTAATTTGTTTCGTGTTTTTAAATGTGTAAAACATGATTGTGAGCTGTTATCTAAAAAGGGGTTAATCCGTATCCACCCTATGCTGGATACTTGGAATCGCGTATTCACCTATCCACCCCAGACGGGGTAGGTGATTGGAATTCGTGTATATTATTTTTCTTCCGATTTTCTTCATCTGTATACAGTCATTTATACAAACACGATAAAAACTGGTCCAAGATGATAAGATGGAGAAGTATAGTAGGAATAAGAAATATACTTATAAGAACATACTTCTTCTTTAAAAGGTCTACGCTGGAATAAAAGGAGTATCTCACAGGATTAACAAATTCATTGGAATATTGGCATAAAATAATTTAAAATGAAGTTGAAGACAAATATCCAATCACAACGTGTTTGGAATGGCTGCAAAAACCAACACATCTGTGGTAGCAAAGAAATTAAAAAAAAAACAATTTATCCAGGATATCAAATTACGTCTACTCAATAATGATATTAGTGTCGGTAATTGCCTGGACATATTGCAGAATTTATAATTATACGTAATGCGTGGACTTTAACAGTCTGTAGCGGTGATGGCTATACGTGATGTTACGAGCTTAGGGTTCGTGACAATAAAAACTGCCGATTGAATTACCAAAAATTGACACTTTATTTACTGAACGCCAATTAAAACTTAAATCACGCTAATAGCTAATCACGCTTAACACTTTAGTTCACTTTATTTACGCTCCGAAAGCTTCGCTCGTATCCAGTGGCGTAGCTACCTTGGGTGGCACCCGGTGCGGAAGTTGCTGGTGTCACCCCAAAAGCAATAAATTTTATATGATAAAGGACTTGGATCGTTTATTATTTATAATATTGAAGAAATAACAAAACACAATAATAACTAGCTGCTAAGATGCAAACCGAGCAATAACTTCATCGAAATTTATATTTTGTATTGCCTCGGTTCGATGGCTAATATACCAAGATTGCTAAGCCGCGATTGGGTCATTGATGCCCGCAAATAGTTTTTTATTAATTTTAATTTACTGAAACTTCTCTCACATGAAGCTACGGACACGCAAACATGAACGCAAACCGTCATGAACAACAGTTGCAACTGAGACGTCAAAGATCGCGAGTATGGGACGGGGAATCCCCTACGACAGCGTCAGGCTCTTTTGCGGGAATCCCCGAAAAAGAAATTTTTGTGCTAGCGATTTTGTTTTTTTGTACATAGTTCTTAAAGGTGAGAGACCGGGTGGGTGTCACCCCAAAAAAGGTGACACCCGGTGTGGCCCGCCCCCGCCGCCCCCCTTTGCTACGCTACTGCTCGTATCGCCAATTCAATACTGACCCGATCGCGGCTTGCAGCAGCTTTAAATACACCTTTTCCACCGAAACATCCAGAATGTTCCAGCAAATACCGGTCCCGACCGACTAAGTGCAGAACAGTGCGTGGACTTTTCTAGAAAGCTTAATTATTCTATTCATTACTAGATGGCGCTGCTGGGAGATTTCCAAAAAGATCTTGACACTCCTATTTCTGATACTTGATACCAGATGGCGCTAGTGCCACCAACTGTGGCGCGCAACAGTAATAAGTTTTTTGATAAGGTTTATGGTTATTAAACATTAAAAAATAAGTTGAGAAATAAGAAAATAAGCTGAGTTGTTCGACGTCCCAATGTCCTAGGTAACCACAGCTTGGGTTAGAATTTAATTTTATTAATTATAGGATCCCAAGCAGATGGTAGCACTCAGCCATATTCTGTACAGAATAAATATTGAAAAAATAGGTAATTTTTAAATAAAGCATGTTCAATAATTTACACTTCCATTCTGTTCGTCAAGTTTCTTTCATTCAGATCACGGAGTGGTGGAGGTATATTACTCCAGCAGTGGGTGTCTGTATATTTGTAACTACCTCTGACGGCCGAGGAACTATGTCGAGGAACATTTGCTTGGGATCCCATAATTTATAAAATTAAATCTCAACACAAGCATAACACTGAGAGTCTTCAAGATACTATAAGTTTGTACTGCGGAGATGAGAACAAAAACTAATAATTTTAATCTGGAGGTAGTCGTGGTTAACTATGACATTGGAGCGTTGAACACCTCAGTCCCCCCCGTGACAATGGGTGATGTGAAGTGCTTGGAAACGTCGGGAATGTAAAAGTTAATATACGGGATAAAATCCGTAAAAACTAGTTTTATTTCCTTAAATAAAAATCAAGTTCAAATATAAATATTTTCGGTAATTTCCTTATGTTTGTATGGGCTTTCTCGTCTTATATTACAAATGTAATCCTCCCATCATAGTTTAGTTGTAAATGCCCTTGGTAACGTTGTTCAGTCTATCACATCTTGGTGAAAATGCTCTCCTCGGTCCTCTGAGAGAGATCAGGGTAAAAATATTTTGATACTCACCAGCTTGTTGAGTTATCGATACAAAAATAACAGTCCTGCACAAGATCACTGGGCTCCCTACATAGTCTTGGCACTCCAAACTCCATATGTCGTTTTTCTCCTCGATATCAGCACAGAAATAACAAAAACAACTTGAGTAAACAAAGATTTATGCGTAAAAAATGACAAATGATGTTATTTTGAAAAACAAATGTCAATGTTGCGAATATATTCTTGATTTAAAAAAATATGAGAATTGAGATCAAAACAAATGTTAATTCTGACGATTTTTCCGTATACCTTTTTGAGTTTCAAAAATTCAAGTAGCAAAAATATTCATGTTCAGAATAAAACAAGGGAGATATATTTTTTATAGAATAAGGGTGACAAACGAACACACGGTCCACCTGAAGATAAGTGGATGTTGTGGTGTGCCGTAGACATCTACATTTATTCTCGACTAAGAACCGAAACGCAGATGTGTTGCCGCCCCTGAGGACTAAGAAGCCTCGTTTCCAGTAGAAAGGGTCTCCGGATCTCCACACTCACCATACGAAACACAGCAGCATTAAGCTGCTATTTTACGCTGGTATTTGTGAGAGCGTGGTCCTTCCCCGGTCGAGCCGACCCATTCATGCTACAAATATAATATAGCTGCAGCGTGGCTCTACCACGTAGATAAAAGAAAGCTCCTTAGAATTAAATATCAAGAATACTTAATGATTTCTTATATTTACGCGAACATTGCACATGATTAAAACTACTTTTACGGATTTTATCGCGTTTATTTTTACTTTTTATTTTTAATTCCCGACGTTTCGGGCGCTTTCCAGCACCCATGGTCACGGGGGACTGAGATGACTGACGTCCCGATGTCATTGTTAAACCCGGAGTACCTTCAGCTTTTTTAATTATTGTTTATGGTCCGATCTATGCAAAATGAACTGACTATGTCCTGAGGTCTTGCAGTGGTATGCTTGGGTCTAGTTTTAATTTTATTGATTATAGGATCCGAAGCAGGTGGTAGTACCCAGCCTCCTTCTCTATTGAAATTAGGATGTTTTTTAATTTCAATAGCCTCACGTATCATCCTTGGTAGGAATCGGTGTTCTTTCGCGAGGATTTGTGGTCTATCAAATCTGATGTAATGGTTGGGGCCGTCTAGGATATGAACTGCAGACAGACAGACATATCCTAGACGGCCCCAACCATTACATCAGATTTGATAGACCACAAATCCTCGCGAAAGAACACCGATTCCTACCAAGGATGATACGTGAGGCTATTGAAATTAAAAAACATCCTAATTTCAATAGAGAAGGAGGCTGGGTACTACCACCTGCTTCGGATCCTATAATCAATAAAATTAAAACTAGACCCAAGCATACCACTGCAAGACCTCAGGACATAGTCAGTTCATTTTGCATAGATCGGACCATAAACAATAATTAAAAAAGCTGAAGGTACTCCGGGTTTAACAATGACATCGGGACGTCAGTCATCTCAGTCCCCCGTGACCATGGGTGCTGGAAAGCGCCCGAAACGTCGGGAATTAAAAATAAAAAGTAAAAAATAAACGCGATAAAATCCGTAAAAGTAGTTTTAATCATCAAGAATATTTCTTGATATAATAATTAAGGTAGGTACAATCTGGTTGCGTGCCCGTAATTATTTGAACCGGTCGTTACGAAAAGTACCTATTTTTGAATTACACCGGAAGTACAGACTACAACTACTTTACCGATTTGGTATCTATGGATTTTACAATTACAGATTGTAAGTATATACTCGTATTGATGAAAGTATAACTACCGACTATGGCGCAGATAATTACATATGTTCGAAACTTTTTTAGATTTAAATGTTTAGTTTTTTACATCCTTAAGTATTTTTTCAGTTTACACAGGCAAAATGTGATAAAATTATTTTCTTACTCAGTAATTCAGAAGAATGTTTGTTACTGCTGTGATAGTTAAGTAAACACGCACTACTGTGTACTACGATATTATGCAATTTTCCACTAATGTAAAGCAAACTTAAGAATGGATATTTTGTATTGCATGCAAAAACAGAAATCCCGGAAAAAATATGTTTTTTTGTCGATCGGTTATTTATTAGGTTGTTAAACTAGCTGCAGCACGTACAAATCGGCACAACAAACCTACACCGGGAAAGGCCCATGCTCGTACGGCTTATAGGATATCGCACAGGTTTTGTATAGTACAGTACCTACACGTGACAACAACCGAAAATCTTTTAAACGGTGCTGGTCACGCTGATCACCGTGGCCGTGGCCATTGCAACCTAACACGAGTTCATTGCTGAATACAGGTCTCTCCTTAAATTGCCTCATAGGAGATTCACAGGAGAATTACCATAGTTGACACGTTTGGTAGGCGGATTGGTAATCGTTTTTTTTAAAGTTTCTAGTTGTTCTTTGGAAGACGTTGTTGTCCATCACGTGGTGCGTTTCCCTCTGCCGCCTTTTACGACACCCACGGGACGATACTGTGTCACAGAGTTGTAAATATACTTACACCGTTACACCTCGTATAACTCTTACCCCGACGAAAAATAGCGGTATTATCCAATATCTTTCAACGAGCAATTCTTGTATATATATAATTGGAATCTCGGAACGGCTCCAACGATTTTCATGAAATTTAGTATGCAGGGGGTTTCGGGGAACAATAAATCGATCCAGCTAGGACTCATTATAAAATGTCGTTTTATCCATGGTTTTAGACAATGCTACAACATCATTAAAATGCCACATATAAATTTTGCCAGAGCCTAAAATGTTATAACAGCTCAAATGGGATATCGGGCCGTTCTGAAATTATAGAACGCCTGTTCGAGTCCAAATATCTCCGGTCTGACTCTTTTTTCCTTTTTTCAAGTTCTTTCTTTCGCGAGAAAATATATTATTTGGAACCCTTTTTTAGTATGACCGTGAAGATCGAAAAATTTTATTCATATTTCATCAGTATGTAATTTGTATCTAAATATTATTTACAAAAAACACGATTTCCAAAAAAAAAAAAAAAAAGAATCGAGCAAACCTCGGTCATCCAGGTACTGTGTTAACATGTGTATTTTTGTGTATGTCTGTGACATGATAGCGCCCAATCTAATGAACCGATTTATATTTTTTTTGTTTGAACTTGACGAGTGTTCTCAGCCATGATTCAAGAAAATCTTTTCAGCCGTTTAAAGATCATCAGCTCTTATTGTTTCGTGGGTTTTTAAAATTTTCAATTTAATATTATCTTCACCAGCCATCAAGTCTACAGCTAGACCTGCTCGTTACCGAGAGGTTTCTACAAATTCAGTCATTAGGTTTTTCTGTCAAGATATTCTCAGCCACCCGGAGTCAGGCAGTCGGCTGCGCCTCGGAAGGCACATACAGCAGTTGGCCCTGTGCCCGATCTCTCTCCGGTCGTGTCGGCTTATCGTTTCATCGGACTATGAGAGTGAGGAACTAGAAACTGCACCTGTGCTTGCGCATACACTCGGGCACTATAGTCCCGTCCTGAGGAAATGGCTGTCTTTGAGGCTAACCCCACCGTGTCCGAAATTCGGTCTGGAAACCATGATTATTGTATGTTTTTAAGAAATGAATTATAACTTAATAAAAAATAAAAGACTGAAATTTTGATAAAAACATATTTATTTACTACAATTCATATAATAATAATGATAACATTTTATGCACAATGTTGGTAAGAGACAGGGATGGGCCATTATGCGTATATCGTACTTCAAATAAATATAAATGTATAAAATTATGTAATGCTATCAATGAAAGAGGCCGCACGGCACCTACATAGCACCGCCGGTTAAAATCAGATTACAATTGAAAAGTACAAAACTGAAACGTATTCATTTTGAGATAAAAGTGTATAAGGCATAATCACAGCACATGCAGATTATATAAAATAAAAACAATATAATATGTATGTAGTATTTTACGATATATATGTCGTGTGTCTACATGAGAACGATTGCTACTGCTTCCATCGTGTACAACCGGACAAATTAGTAATTAATTATATTACATAGATTATGTTCACAACATTTTAAACCTCCAGTAGATCAATGCTAGCCACACCGGCAACGATCCGCCCTGTACTGTATTACATTTAAAACATTTTCATATATTTATAACAATAATTGTATGCACGTCAATTTGTTTTGAGCATCATAAATTATTATTTATTATAAACAATAGGGTAATTGACACGAGTGTTACGAAATGTCGTCAGTTTTTGTACTAAAACACTTGTATTTGTATTTTTATATCATAAAATTTTATTTAAGTTAAAAGAAAAAATCTATTAAATTTAGAAAGTTACAAAAATACAGTAAATTCTAATTTTATGATGTAAAATATTAACAATCGTGGAAATTACCCTGTTACCTCACATTGTATGGGAAGGTCGAACACAAGACAGAGCTGAATTTCCTTGCCTGTCGGTCACTTCAACTTGAACGATTTTCACTTTTCTACATATTAATATATATTTTATATTATGTTAGTTCGTAAGTTGCTAAATATAAAATGCATTAACAATAGTTATAATTTCTAATTCTTCGAATATTAATAACGGCTTTCCAGCTCATGTTCCAGCGTGGATACAAAAAGCCCTTAACTACACTGACATTATAAACTTAAGACTTTATTTATGTCTTATTTAATATCAATAATTTATTCCCGTAACCAAATTATGTTTAATTAATATATTTTAAACTATTTGCCGCAAGCAATTCATCGAGACATGCACTTTAACAGATTTTTTTAAATAATTTAAAAATAATTTTCAAGTATTTATATAATTTCAAAAATAAAATAGGAGTATCTTACGCTACTCCAAGTACGCACTGAGCTATGGTTTGGAGTTCTTAAGCTTTGGTGAAAATTGTGATAGAAACGAGCGAGCACGAATGCGGGTGTTAATCCTAGCACCACCTCATGAATTTTCAACTTGATATTTAAGAAAAAATTGCTTTGACATTCTTATAGAGTATGTGTATCTACATTAGATATTACGTAAGGCTTAATACGCATTGACGTATTGGCCGGTTAAAGCACGGTGTCAACATTTTCAAGGTCAGTACGTTAATGCATTACGGTCTATAAAACGTACATTGGCCAGATTTTTAGCAGACTGGGCAGAGTGTTTACACAAATTTATAATTAGAAAGTGTTGATAGAGTGCAACATTTTGTGAATGTTTTAAACAGTAGCTACGCGTCGTTACGATTTCGTGTCAATGTGAACGTGAATTAGTGAGATGGCGATGTGGAGTGTAGAGTGTAATGCGCTTACTGCTGCGGGTAGGGGTTGTACCCGGGCGGCGGCGGCTGGTAGGGCTGCTGGTAAGGCTGCTGCTGGTACTGGTAGGGCTGGTAGGGCTGCGGCGGCGGCATTCTAGCGTGGTGAGGGTACGGCAGCGTGGCGTACGGGTTGTACAGCGCAGGCATGGGCGCCGCGTACACCGGGTACGGAGCGCCCGTTGTTCCGTACGGCAACGGCATACCTACGTATGAGTATACACACATTATTAAAAAAATTGTGTGCAGCTCCCACGCGGTAGAGGAAACCAAGTACCTGTAGCAAACTAAGCTTCGAGAGGATGAGACGAATGCAGAGTACAAGGAGGAGAATAATTGTAGGGTTTATTTATAACAATACTGCTACACTACATTCATTATCATCACTAAAATTCATTCTACATGTTAAATTGTTGCGTTCTGCCGGGAATCTACCGAAATTGTACAGAAACGCAACAGCGACGTGTAGCCCGGGCCTGTCAAACATTTTAATTTTAAACGGACAAACAATCAGTTAGAAGTTAAAACGGTTCTAGACTTCAACACACAATATCATAGCTTAACGTTACACATTATTTCTTTGCAATTGTTTCAATATAAAAATGTTCCATGCCCACAAGTTCTTGAATTATATACAATTAACACAATTAAAGTCAAGATTTTCATTGTTGGAATTCGACTAAATCAATATATTATATACATCACCCAAGAGCTCCTGCCGCATCCAGGATCAGGATCTTGGGAAAACATATAACATATTTTTGCCCAACGTCAAACATAAACGTTCCGGGAAGTATGCAGTTTGTGATCATATCCTAGACGGCCCCCACCATTACATCAGTTTTGATAGACCACAAAATCTCGCGAAAGAACATCGATTCCAACGACGACCAAGGATGATACGTAAGGCTATTGAAATTAAAAAAACATCCTAATATCAAAAGAAAAAAAACAGGCTGGGTACTACGACTTGTTTGGGATCTTGTGATTAATAAAATTAAAACTAAACCCAAGCATCCACTGCAAGACTTCAAGACACAGTAAGTTCATTCTGCGTAGATACATAACATAATATATAAACACTCACGCCTGTCACCCAGAGGGGTAGGTAGAGACTACGGACTTCCATTTGGCACGATCCTGACATACCTCTTTCGCCTACTTTACATCCATACACCTACGCATACATGCTCGTCGGTTAAGAGTACTTCTAACGTGGCCCATTTTCAAAATATCGCCAATTTGGTCAATAAACTTTTTTCTAGGGCGTCCCTTCCCGACTCTGCCGTTCACATCTGCCATATAAATTTGCTTTGTCACTCTTTCTTCATTCATTCTTTCTACATGATCAAACCACCGAAGCATTCCTTTCTTAATCCTGGTCACAACATCATCTTGCATACCACATTTATCTCTTATCACGCAATTTCTCACCCTGTCATTCAGATTCAACCCTACCATACTCCTTAAAGACCGCATTTCTACAGCATTTATTCTACTTTCGTGCTTCTTCTGCCACACCCAGCTTTCACTACCATACATTAAAGTAGGGACTAACACAGAATTATGAATTACCATACGTGCCTTTTTTGACATATTCTGGTTCTTTATAATAGAGTGTAGTACCCCATTCACTCTATTCCCTGTATTTACTCGTCGTTCTATATCCTTATCATATCTACCATCCCTGCTAAATACACATCCCAAATACACAAACTCATCTACTTGCTCAATTAACTCTCCTTCTATTCTTATTTCACATACCGTTTTGCTTTCCTCTCTTTGAAAAACCATCACTTTCGTCTTACTTGCGTTCACTTTCATTCTCCTTTCTTTTAATGCCCAGTTCATTAATGTAACCATCATTTGCAACTCAGCCGCCGATGACGCAAATATGACTTGATCATCGGCATACAAAAGGCATTTGATGGTTAACTCGCCCATTCTTAACCCACATTCTTCATCTTTCAAAGTTTGCAAACACCTGTCCATAAATAGATTGAACAGCCAAGGGGAAGCTACACAGCTCTGTCTGACACCTTTTTGGATGCCAAACCAGTTCGAGTAGACCCCATTGATCCTGACACAAGCACTAGAGTCCCTATAAAGAGATCTTAATGCCTGTATCAAACCAGCGCTCAACCCATATGAGTTCAGTGTTTGCCATAACACATTCCTGTCCACTCTGTCATAAGCCTTTTCCAAGTCCATGAACGCACAAAAAACCTTTTTGGTTTTTGGCCAAAAACTTCTCCGCAATCATGCGCATGGAAAAGACTTGATCTGTACACCCCATTCCCTTTCAAAAATCCGCTTGCACATCCCAAATTTTTCCATCAGTTTCTTTCATAACTCTTTCAATTAACACCTTAGCATACAGTTTACCCACAGTACTAAGCAAGCTGATACCACGGTAGTTTTTGCAGTCCTGCTGTGACCCTTTTCCTTTATATATTGGTACTATAACTGCTTTACACCAGTCATCCGGTACCCGTTTTAATTCCCAACATAAATTAAACAAGGTGTACAGCAGGCCTGCCACCACTCCCTCTCCAGCCCTTAGCATCTCGAGTGATACTCTATCATATCCAGCTGCCTTACCCGCTTTCATGCTTTTCATTGCTTTCATTATTTTATCTACACTTATCTCCATACCCCTTTCCACTTCTTTCGGATTTTCTAGTTCATTTAATTCAGACGAATCTTCACTCATAAACACGCTTTCAAAGTATTCCTTCCATCTGTTTAAATTCGAAACTTCATCATTCAAAATACATCCATTCTCGTCTCTTATAGCATTAATTATAGGCTGTTTTGTATTTCCCCTGGCAGTTCTTACGAGTTTCCAGAACATTTTTATATTAGCCTGGAAATTATCAGATATCCTTCTATCATTCTTTCTTTCTTTTTCCTTTCAACTACTTCTTTTACTCTCTTATTTAGACGTCTAAATTCTGCCTTTTTTTCTTTCAATCTCATCATTCATACCACCAGAATTACCAGCTTTGGTTGCTAGTAAATCTAACCATGCTTTCTTCTTTGATTCAACTTCCACCCGTACCTCATCATCCCACCACAAACGTATTACTTTTCCTTTCATTCTTTGTTCTCTTACTTACACCACATACTTCGGTGGCTGCATCCACCAAACCTTTCTTAATATTATCCCACACTGTATTCAAGTCTAAATCATGCATACACAACTCATTCAAACCTCTAATATTTTCTCTCAGTCTACATTTATACTTCTCTTTCACATCTTCATCTTGTAATTTCTCTATTCTTATACGCTGTAACGCAGTGGTAGACACAGATGTCCGATGCCGCCAAAGCTTGAAAAGACCATTAATTCGACATAAGACCAAGTAATGATCCGTCCCTACGTTGGACCCCCGGTGAACCCTTGTATCTACGACTGCGCTCCTCATTCTTTCATCCACAATTACAAAATCTATCATGCTTCTATCATCACCTCTTTCCTATGTATACATGTGAATCTTCTTATGACGAAAAAAGTATTCGTCACAAAAAGATTCTTTTCCACACATACGATGAGGAGGTCTTCACCATTCTCATTTATACTTTCATCACCAAACGTTCCCAATATCCTTTCATAACCAGGCCTCTTCACCCCAACCCTTCCATTAAAGTCTCCTAACATAATAATATTTTCATTTTCCTTACATTTTGTCAACACCATCCTTACCATGTCTCAAAACTGCTCTCGGATGTAAGTGGGCTTAGACATGTCTGGGACGTACACCCCTAGCAGGAACAGCTTCTTTAAGCCCACTTTCATTCGTATCCATAGCAGCCTCGGGCTTACACATTCATACTTTTTCACACATTGACCCATTCCTTCTGAAAGGATGAAACCGACTCCCTGGCATGCCCGTTCGGTCTCGTCTACACCAGACCAATACGCGGTATACGTGCCATGTGCAGTGGCATCGTTTCCCTTTCGTTTCGTCTCATTTACACATAACACATCTATTCCTCTGTCATTCATCATTTCGCATACTTCATCCATCTTATCATTCATTCCTCCACATACATTCAGCGTAGCCAGACGGGTTTCCGCAATCCACTTTTTGCGTAGATTGGACCATAAATAATAATTAAAAAGCTGGAGGTACTCCGGGTTAACACTAACATCTGGAAAAATACTTTTAATCAATAATATACAAGGGGGATAAGTCGCTCGCATCCGTAGGCTTCGACTATCTAATCCTAGGCCCACGTTACACGTGTCCTCCGGGTGGTGCTATATGAACGACAAGCCGAAAGTACAGACTCGGCTACTCGCCGTGTGGTAGCGGCGTAAAATATGTTACCCCATAGTTTCGTACCATGAGGCACCAGAAAAAAGTAATAGCCCCGAGCTCCCGGCGCCCTTTCATGGGGCAGGGGTGCGAAGAATCTCCGGGGGGGAAACCGTTTTGTCTCCCGGAGGGGTGAAAAGTGGATTGCACAAGCCCGTCTGGCTACGCTGAATGTATGAGGAGCAATGAATGATAAGATGGATGTAGTATGCGATATGATCTATAAAAGAGGAATAGATGTAGTATATGTAAATGAGATGAAACGGAAAGGAAAGGTTGTTAGTACACATGACATGCATACCGCATACTGGTCTGGCGTAGACGAGACCGAGCGGGCATGCCAGGGTGTAGGTCCATCCTTTCAGAAAGAATGGGCCAATGTGTGAATGAAAGTGGGTTTAAAGAAGTTGTTTGTGCTAGGGGTCTACGCCCCAGACATGTCTAAGTCTACTTGTATCCGAGAGCAGTTTTGGGAAAGGGTAAGGTGGTGGAAATGAAAATATTGTTATGTTAGCAGATTTTAATTAAAGAGTTGGGGTGAAGAGGCTTGGCTATGAAAGGATATTGGAAAGTGATGAAAGTATAAATTAGAATGGTAAAAGCCTCCTTACCGTATGTGTGGAAAAGAATCTTTTTGTGACGAACACTTTCTTTCGCCACAAAAAGATTCACATGTATACTTGGGAAAGAGGTTTACTGAGGTTCCAATGTAAGAACGGATCTTTATGTGGTTTTATGCCGAATTAATGGTCTATTCAGACGTTGGCGCCATCGAACATCTGTGTCTACCACTGCGTTACAGCGTATAAGAACAGAAAGGTTACAAGATGAAGGTGTGAAAAACAAGTACAAATGTAGACTGAAAGAAAATATAAGTGGTTTGAATGTATTATGTGTGAATTAGTTAGAATGAAAGGAAAAATAATACGTCATGGTGGGATGATGAGCTACGTATGGAAGTTTAAGCAAAGAAGAGAGTATGGCTAGATTTACTAGCAACAAAGGCTGGTAATTCTGGCGGAACGTATTATGATCAAGTTTATTGAAGTTTTCACTTCAATAAACTCGGTAAGTAGTTCCGAATAGTAATTAGTTCCGGGAGGACCATAAAATGTAGAATGAGCGCTTGATTGAGGGCTTTGTATGGTACCATTGACGATGTTAAGTAGTGAACTTGAAGAGAGGTTAAGTTGAAAAAATATGAACTTATACGAGAAAAGAATAGTCTTTAACAGTTTAATATAATTATAAAGTTGGATTGACAGATTCTCTCTTTATTGGAGTCCGTAGTATCTCATAGTTTATTTATATTTCATATATAATATAAAGCATTCTCTGCCAGTCAACCTTTATTCAACCTATTATATGTATATACATTATGGCTGAAAGTGATGATATTTGTCAACTCAGGCGGAAAAAGTCGTGCCTCCTGAAAGCTTCCACAGCGTGCGCTGCATCAATAGTTAAAGTTGCACGAAAATAATCTAAAACTAAAAATAAAGCGCGGCAGCATGTTTATCTTCGAAGAATAAGTCATTATAATCATTTTTATATAAGAACGCTCGCATAACTATTATAATGGCGGTCGGCGCGGCGTGGTTACGAAGGGGCTGCGGTGTGCGGAGGGGTAGATAACGTGTCAAAGTGAGCAACCAGTGTGACCATATGTGGCAGGTTCTGTTTGTTTGTTGGCAGGATTGGCCACTTATTTTAGACTTTGACATGATCGGTTGACGTTCAATAAAACCTGGCAGTATTTGGCAGTATTGGGGTATTAAAAGTAGATTTCACTATGGCAATTAAAATGCCTAAAATGGCGACCCTAGATACTTCACTAGCATGTGAGGGATTTCCCTGTACTTCTCGTATTATGTTTGTATGTAAAGTTGATAGTCTTAAAACAAGTATTCATAAATACGAGTTTATGGTGAATATTTCAATCAGACATAGAAGAGACACTTAAATATATATATATATATATATATTGCAAATTGCCCAAAGGGAATACTATGCTTACCAATGTCCAACGCTGCATGCGGAAAAATATTCTCTCAAATAAATTAAGTAATTAGTTAATAAATGAATTTAATTAAGATAAAAATACGAAACAGATTTATAAACAAACATGTAGCGTCTATCTCGCACGTTAAACAAAGTATATTGGTGAGCACGGCGATTGCATTCCATTCAAACCAACGAAAGATATGTTAGAACGAATGAATAAATCCATGTATAAAGATGAAAAAATGAAGAATATGATGCTAACTGCATTGTTAAATCTAATTTAGTAAAAATATAGCATTTTAAATTGTATTTTTACTTTTCTTAGTTTAATACAATGGTATATTAAATAAAGTTGGCAGTATTTAGGCATTTTCACTACAGACTTTGGCAGGTTCTTAACCAAAGTAAGGCATTATCTGTATTGATTAGATGGTCACACTGTGAGCAACCCGAACGGGCGGACACGTGAGGGCAGACGACGTTGACGGTCATCTTAAATTTACATTTTTAGTGCGGCCTATCATATTGTTACGAGCTTAGGGTTCGTGACAATAAAAACTGCCGATTGAATTACCAAAATGAACACTTTAATTACCGAACCCCAATTAAAACTTAAAAGACACTAATAATTAATCACACTGATCACTTTAGTTCACTTTATTTCGCTACGAAGTTTCGCTTGAATCGCCAAATTGAATACTGACTCGGTCGCGACTCCCAAAAGCCTTATATAGGCTTTATCCACCGAAACATCCAGAATGCTCCAGCAAATACCGGTCCCGACCGACTAGATGTAGAAAATTCGAGTGTGGAGTTATCTAGAAAGCTTAGTTCTTCTATTCGATAATAGATGGCACTAGTGCCATTAACTGTGGCGCGCAACACTACCCCCTAATAAGACATGCTCGTCCCGAGCATTATCGGCCCCATAATAACGCGGCAGTCAATCCACATGGACGATCTTAGGAGTATCCTCGGCATCGTCACGATAATGGAACTGGAGTAACTTACCTAATATATTTAATACTGGCCAAAATTCGATCAACAGAAAAACTGGTTCTTGCGGTGGCATCTTCCAGTATAGCCGCGACTTTACTTAGTGGTGGAAAATCTGCCCATTTCGCGTTTAAACCGTTTTTGAGTGTCTCTCTTCAGAAAGAATCCGTATATTCCATACGAAAAAACGAGCCGCTGGGCAAACTTCTTCAAGATGTCTGTCTCCTAATGTGAGACGAACGTACGATGAGCCACCGCTCACATATAGAAGCTGTAGAAAGAACTCTTAAGAGACCTAAGAAGTTCAGATAAAATTATGGGAGGCGTCACCATTGTGTTTGTCGGTGACTTTCGTCAAACTCTTCTTATTGTGCTTAGAAGAACTCGTGCGTATATACTTAAAGCCTGCTTAGAGTCGTCTCCCTTACGGAGATCTGTACAATCAATCACATTAAGAGCAAACAAGAGATCCCAATCAGGAGTGGGTAATATGCATTGCATTGAGTTAACAAAGTCTGTCTCAAGTCTCAATGATTTGATTCTAAATGTTTATCCAGCAATTGAAATTATTTCTCAAAAAGATTATGCACATGGATGTACAAGAGGGCAATAAGTTCGCCGAGAAATTCTTCTGTTGATCATGTCAATCAACAAATATTAGAAAGAATATCAGGTTAGCAAATATATATACATATACCCGCTGATACTGTATTAGATACAAAGGACGCTGTACATTACCCACAGCAATTCTTTAACTCACTTAGCCCGTCAGGACTTCATCCCTCTCATACTCTAAAAATTTAAGTCGGTATTCCAATATTTTATTGCGAAACCTTAATCCGTTTGTCTGTGCAATGGAACTAGACTCCAAGTGAAATCGCTACGAAATAATATGATTGAGAGCATTATTATTACAGGATCAGCGGTAGGTCAATTAGCTCATATTCCCCGCATTCCCATGATCCCTACAGATGTACCTTTCCAATTTAAGCAATTACAGTTTCCAATAAAAGTTTCTTTCGCCATCACCATCAACAAATCCCAAGGCCAAACATATAAATATGTCGGACTTAACTTAAGGGAATATTGTTTTACTCGCGGACAATGTTGTTCTCTAGGTAAATGCGGAGAATCAATTTATATTCGTTATGTTTCCGTATCGTATATGTCGATATGTCTTCCTGAAGCAGTTGTCTGTTTATATGAGAGGCTCTTATAATAGTTTTTTGTCGCTGTTTATAAATCTTGAAAAAAGTTTGCTAACACCTAGAACATAAATCTCTTTATAACACTTATCTGTGATTATGAGCAGTCTAATTATGTGCAACCAGTGAGAAAGGATATTCCACCTGGTAGAAGATCCATATAAAGGTGCACGAACGATGTCTTTCATGAATTCCGGACTACGCTTAGGGAGCAAGAGTACCGGAAAGATGCGTTAGAACCGGTGCCAACTCTAGAGCACAAGGCCCACTCGATTTGTGGACATCGAGAGAGAGAAGTGGTTTATGTACTGAGCATTCTGTGATCAGGCATAGAGCACTCACACCGCGGGATGGTCGCCGACGTGTTCGCCCTGTCATCGAGAGTCGACTTAGACAGAGAAAGAGAGACAATTTATATTAAGCCCGCAGAAAGATAGATGAAAATATGTGGTATATAAAGAAGTTTTAAAATTAATTATATCTACTAAGCTAAATCTGAAGTATCATCATCATCATCATCATTACAGTCCTTCACAAGTCCACTGCTGAACATAGGCCTCCCCCAAGTAATGCCACAAAGCACGGTCCTGCTTTATGACTCGAGAACCTTTCTTCCCCATCGGTTATCGGTTCTTCGAGCTATATGGCCGGCCCATTGCCACTTCAGCTTACTAATCCGTTGGGCTATGTCGGTCACTCTGGTTTTACTGCGGATATCTTCATTTCTGAGTCTATCACGCAGTGAAACTCCGAGCATAGCCCTCTCCTTAGCTCGCTGAGCGACCTTGAGCGTCCTCATACGGCTAGATGAAGAATATTTATAACTTTTTATTTTATTTATCTGAAGTATATTTATAACTATATAAATAATAGTTCGAGCCGGGCAACGCCGAGGCGTTCTGCTAGTAATAAATAAATAACTAAAGTAGCTCACACGCGGCCTACAGTTGAGTGAGAGCAGCTATCGCGCGGTGTAAGAACACGACCCCGGGCATCCCGTGTCTGTCGTAAGAGAACACAGGAGGAAACTAATCAGGACATGGGCAGCAACGTCTTCCTAATAACGACCACAAAAAAAAGCTGCGGTTGGCATCCCGCTTGCCAAGCGTTGTAACTATGGCTAATATCCCCCCTACGAGGCAATCTCTGGGGGAAGCCTTTGTTCAGGAATGGACTTCAATTAGCTGTAACGGTAACGGTGCACTCGCTGAGTGACACCGTACAATATTATTGTTAGCATTGCATTCGCTGTTTGTTAAGAAATAGCAATTAACTTACCCTGCGGCTGCGAGGGGTAGGGCAGTGCGCCGGAGGTGGTGGGGGCGGCGGGGGCCGCGGGGCTGGTGGCGGGGGGCGGGGGGCGCGGCGGCGCCTGCTTCTTAACCGCAGCCGGCTCCCAGCACAAAAAATACAATTCATTATACATTATACTTTATATCAACGAGTCTACCAAATCAAAGCTGGTATATTAGGCTGTTATTATGCGAAAGCGTGGCACTACCCCGGTCGAGCCGACACATTTGTGCTACAGCCATAATATAGCTGCAGCGTAGATCTACCGCGTTAAAATACTAATTTATTGAACTGTTGAAATTTGTTGTTTTTTCAGTGACAATAATAGCTATACGATAAATATTAATAGTTTTACGAGCTTGAGGTTCGTGACAATAAAAATTGCCGATAGAATTACCTAAATTAACACTTTAATTTTCTTTACACAAATTAAAACTTAAAACACTAATAATTAAACACACTAATTCACTTTATTCCGCTCCGAAGCTTCGCTCGTCTCGGCAAATTCAATACTGCCCCGATCGCATCTTGCAGCGCCTATAAATATAAATTAGCACCGAAATATCCAGAATATTCAAGTAAACACGCGCAAGGTACCGAGAGTTCGAGTTTCAACTTCTAGAAGTTTAGTTCTTCGGTTCGAGACTAGATGGCGCTGTCAGTTGAAAGATTAGTGATGTCATTTTCTGGAAAGCTCGCTCTTGTGTCTGACACTAGATGGCGCTAGTGCCGTCGACTTAGGCGCGTAACGCTGTCCCCTCCTAAGACATGCTCGTCCCGAGCATTATCGGCCCCATAATAACGCGCCAGACGATCCACATGGACGATCTTAGGAGTCCCTCTTGCGCCTTTCTGTATCCGGTAGGTTACATCGTTGATCCTGGTCACAACCCGGTACGAGCCGTCCCATTTAGCTTGAAGCTTAGGAGATTTCCCTTTGCTGCGGACTGGATTGTGCAACCACACTAGTGAACCTTCGTCGAATCCTTTATTGTTCATTTTGCGGTCATACCGGGTTTTCATCTTCTCAGACATTTGCTGGCCCGATTGTCTGACGTGCTCATAAATGTCATTCATTTTGTTCCGCAAGTCATTTGCATAATCGGTTATACTGCGTGGGGTATCAGGTGGTATCCCGGTGATCAGGTCTGCAGGCAGCCGTAATTCTCTTCCAAAGTGTGCGAAAGCTGGTGTCACTGCTGTACTTTCGTGAACAGAACTTCGGTATGACAATAAAAACGGTTGTATGTACTTGTCCCAATCTCGTTGCCGATTGTCTACAACTCTTGCTAGGTACCTCTCCAATGTCTGATTGAATCGTTCTACCATTCAATCAGATTGCGGGTGATAAGAAGTCGTTCTTGTTTTATGAGTACCCATAACTCGGCAAGTTTCCTGGAATATTTGAGACTCAAAATTCCTTCCTTGATCGCTGTGAATCTCTAAAGGTACTCCAAAACCACAGAAGACTTCATGAACTAGTTTATCTGCAACTGTTGAAGCTTCTTGATTTGGAATGGCGAAGACTTCTGGCCACTTAGTGAAGTAACCCATCACAACCATGAAATACTTGTTACCGCTTTCACTCTCCGGAAACGGCCCCGCCACGTCAATGGCTATTCTCTCCCATGGTGCACCAACATTGTACAACTTCAATGCACCTCTACTACGAGTCTGAGGTCCCTTTACAGCCGCACAACTTGTACATTTGCGACACCAGTCCTCGATATCGTTTCGACAGTGGACCCAATAAAGCCGTTCTCGGATTTTCAGTAGAGTTCGTTTAACTCCCAGATGGCCTCCTGAACAATCATTATGGTACAGCTGTAGAACATCCGGTACTTTAGCTTTAGGGACAACCATTTGCAAGTGACAGCTGTCTCCCCGAACAATTTCCCATTTACGGCACAGAACTCCATCCTGAAGCAGCAAGCTGTCCCATTGGGCCCAATAGCTTTTAGTGGTCGAACTCATCGCTGAGACGTCGCTCCACTTGAGCTTGGGAGCACTGGCCTTCATCCATTCCAGAATCGGCTTGATGCCCGGATCTTCCTGCTGTGCATGTTGTAAGCTGTCCTTCCACTCGTTGCTGAGGTGGTCTGTCCTGAGCATCCTCACGGATACCACTTCCTTACTCTCCTGCCTAGTACAATGTTTGCAATCTTCAGGACAAGGTCTTCGTGACAATGCATCTGCGTTGCCATGAGATTTCCCGCTGCGATGTCTGATAGTAAAGTCGTATCCCGGCTGCTGCTGGGCGGTGATGTTAGCCGCACTTCCCTTCTGAGATCGTTCACCTTCCCTTTCTAGGGTTCGCTTAGGGCAGCTGGATTGAAGATGGCCCCTTTCCCCACAGCCATAGCACCCAGGGCTGTATCCATTATTGTGGTCGCGAACCGTAAATGCTGCAACCTCCCTAGCGCGAGGGGAACGACGATCCTGTCACCGCCAGGCGGTGCCGTTAGCTGCACTACCCTCTCGAGATCGATCAACTCTCCTTTCTACAGTTCGCTTAGGGCAGCTGGAGCGAAGATGGCCCCTTTCCCCACAGCCATAGCACCTAGGGCTGTATCCTTTGTTGCAGTCGCGACACCCCCTCTAGACCCAAGTCTCATAAGTCACTTCCTCACCGAGGGCTTCCAGAACTGTTAAGGCCTGGTTGCGCAGGCCTAATGTGAGAGCAGTCATGGCCTGACTTTTATTCCAGCCGTTCGCCTTCATAACAGCCTCGAACTGGATTTTGTAGGCTGACCAGGAAGAAGTACCGTCGAACGGTGGCACCTTGAACCCACGTAGCGAAGGTGTTGTAGCTACTACGGGAGCTGTAGCTCCATCTCCAAGTTTGAGTTCGTCCAGTGATTTCTTCATGTCAGCCATTACGTTGTCAACCCGATTGTTTACTTGGTCGATTCGGGTTTCAGCTTTCGCGATTTGGGTTTCAGCTTCCGACAGGCGGTTGTCATGCTGAGCAACCCTATCCTTCACCTCCTTTATCTCCTTCCCGAAGGTAGCGTGAAGGTCCTTCATGAGGAGCATCTGCTCTTCCAACCGACGGGCCAGTTCCTCTTGTCCGCCCCGCAGCTGCTCCTCCAAACGACGAACCTGGTCTTCCTGTCGGCGGGCCTGTTCCTCCTGTCCGCCCCGCAGCTGCTCTTCCAATCGGCGTGCCTGTTCCGCCTGCTGGCGAGCCTGTTCCTCCTGTCGGCGAGCCTGCTCCTCCTGTCGGCGAGCCTGCTCCTGCAGCATCACCATCAGAGCACGTAAGTCAGGTGCTGCAGATGTAGGGGCTACTGACGGGCCTGCAGCCGGTGGCTGGCCCTCCGACGTCTGCGGCGTTGCACCACCAAATCTTCTTTGGTCCGTCTCCTGCTGGCGTTGACTTCTGGTACGGACACCCTCCGTTTCTTCCTTAGGTAAAATCGGCATGATTTTATCCCACTTCTGACACCAATTGTTACGAGCTTGAGGTTTAGTTCTTCGGTTCGAGACTAGATGGCACTGTCGGTTGAAAGATTATTGATGTCATTTTCTGGAAAGCTCACCTCGCTCTCGTCTCTGACACTAGATGGCGCTAGTGCCGTCGACTTAGGCGCGTAACAATAGCAAGGAATTAAGTACTAATAAGATGCTGAGCGATTATCGAGACCAGATGCAAATTAAAATATTATTCTGGGAATTATACGGTCCACGATCATCATTAGCTTACCATAAGGTATGAACGGCATTTTTTATTTTTTATCAGTGCATAAAAATAAAGTGCTAATTAAGCGCTGAAAGATTATTAAGGCCAGATGTAGATGACGGTAATATTCTGGGAGTTATCGGGTCCAGGGCCACCATTACCTTACTATAAGTTACGAACGGCACTTTTTGTTCCTATACAGTTTTTATATATATCCATAATACTATTTTATATAATTTTCAACCATATATATAAGATAAAATTTTAATTTTATAGCAAATACGAGTATATCCTAAATATATAGCCTATCCCGGCATAAATTAAGTGTACTAAATCAAAAAATATTTTATTTTCAGTAAAATTGCTTTATAATAAATAGCGCCATCTAAATAGTTCTTTAGTTCCAGTCATTTTATCGAACCAAAGTCGATAGACTCAAGGAGGTGTACGTATAATAGACGCTAGATGGCCTAAACACAAAAAATATATAAATCGGTAAGTCATGGAACCGTATATGAATGAATTTAATCTGTCAAGTACCTCTAGTCCACATCGGTTTCCTACATGCCAAATTTGTAGACTTTGCCAAAGAGTATATAGTATTATTTAGAAGGGACCCCTCAGAACTATAGAGTACAGAAGAGTGCCAGAACAATTCTTTTTAAATGTTATTTAGAAGAATGAAATGATACCACTAAAATTCTAAAAATTTTATTAGAATTAATAGTACTAAATTACGCTTCATAAAATTAAGAGAATTTACTTCAAAAAACAAGTTTTCGCCTTTACCTACACGTCGCGTTTACTTCATACACTTCAATCAATTTCCTTCGCCTCACGAGTGCAAAAGGCCCTGTTTGTTGTTAGTTTTTTTTTATATAAAAGGTAAGTAATTATACTGTTTTTAAAAATTATTTACTTGTATTTGAATCGTAAGAATTTATAAAATTTGCATTTCAAATACTACAAGTAAAAAGTAAGAAATAAAGTAGTCAAAAGTAACTGAAAATGAAATGTAAAAGGTGAGATATCATTATAAATCATGTAAAACGGAATCAAATGAACTACACACAAACATTTGTGGAAAAACATTCTATTAACAATTGCAGCAATTGTTTTGTGGTACCTAAGTTGGTACTGTTGTGTGTCTTCTCGGTGTCCTGTTTCTGCGGTCGGATTTTGCTGTCATGTTGGACATCAATGCAATTTTCTAACACGATACAATAACATCAATTATCCATCTAACTTATACGTGCCTTGTTATTTTGTAATCAGGTACGTGTGCCGTGTACTGAAAAGATACACCGACTAACAACAACTATATACGAATTTCACCTAAACTAGGCGGTTAGGTGAAATTCGTATATTTCAAAAATAGTAATTAGAATGCTTTTGGAAGATAATAAATATCGACTATTGAAATAAAACTTAATACTAAATCTAAAATGCAT